TTTGAGAGTATGCCCTTCAAGAATTTGGCGTAAGATGGAATCTCCGCTATCGCTTTGGCAAATGGAATGTTGATGCTCAATTTAGTAAAAATATCAAGGAATTTTCTATATTGAGCACCATCATTCTTTTTCTTCAATCGTTGAGGATATGGAATGGGAGGAACATAGTTAGCCATATTGGATGGTGGCACCATATGTTCCTCATCTCCATCTTCGGTTTGCTTTTTCGGGGTCTCCTCCTCTTCTGGTATCTTCGGGTCCTCAGTCGTCTTACCACTCCTTGTGGTAATGGCCATCACGTTCTCCCTTGGATTCATCTCCGTGGTTGTAGGAAATTTGCCTTGCTCCCTAGAACTTACTTTTTGAGCAAGTTGTCCCATTTGTACTTCAAGATTCCGAATGGATGCCTTGTTGTATTGCTCAATGGTGTCAATGCGTTGGTTGAGCTTCATATTTTGATCTTCAAATCGAAGATCCAACTTGGTGAATTGAGAGTGGAGATTCCCAATGGATGCCTCCACTCTATGATGATTTTCCTCATTTTGGGCCTTCATGCTTGCCATGCTTTTGGACATGAATTGCATCATATCCTCCATTGTAGTCTCCTTGGGTTGCCCAAAATTAGGTGCTCCGGATTGGGGTTGTGAGGAACTAGCTTGTGGCTTCCACCTTTGTTGATTTGAATAGTTATTGTTCCCCCGATTCCCATAGGAGTTCATATAATTTACCTCTTCAAGTTGTTGAGATAAATCACTTTCCGGGTTCGGTATGCTCTCCACATTGGCTATTTGTTTGACTCCTCCCAATACGGCTTGTAGAGCCGTTTGGAACTTTTGCTCAATCTTTGATTCCATTTCTTCAAGCCTTTTGTTTATCTCCGTCGTGATAGAGATTTCATTAATCCCGACCACTTTGTAATCACCTCCTTGGAGTTGAGGATTCGAAGCAATGGATTCAATGATTCGGAGTGCTTCGGTTTCATTCTTGTTCCCAATATAGCCCTCGGCTCGGTTGTCCACAATGGCTTGACAAGATGCGTTCAAGCCATTGTAGAATGTGTCAATTTGAAGGTCTAGGGGAATGCGGTGATGTGGGCATTCCCTTAGCAATGATTTGAAACGCCGCCATGCATCTTGAAAGAGCTCACCATTTTGTTGTTTGAAATTGAAAATGCGTTGTCTAAGCTCTTGAGTCATGGTGGGCGTGTAGTATTTAGACATGAAGGCATTGTATATACCTTCCCATGTAGTGTAGCTTGCCGGGGCCTGTTCTAGGAACCATCCTCTTGCTGCCCCTTTGAGAGTATAGGGGAAGCATTTGAGCTTGAGATCATCTTCGGCTAGCTTGTTCCTTGGAATCCCTTGGATGAACCCATAGAACTCCGTGATAAAGTTCAATGGATTCTCCCCCAATTGACCATGAAACTGAGGCATAGCATTGAAGTAGCTTTGCTTTAGTTCATAGTCCCTCGCATCTTCGCTTAGCACAATGCAAGAGGGGGAGGTTGCAACAACGGGCCTCTTCCGTTCGTTGAGTGTGGGCATCATCTTTGTGGCTTTTTGCTCCTTCCGAATGTGTTTGCAAGTTTTTTCTATTTCAAGATCAAGTGGTTCAAGAAATTTAGAACCTCAACTTCTCAAATGCATGAAAACACAAAGGAATATCTACACACACACAAAAATAAACCCTTCCAAGATCAAGTGGAGTTGTGAAAAATAAATAAATAAAATAAATTCAGGATTTTTGATTGTTTGGACTTTATTAAACAAGACCGTCTCCCCGGCAACGGCGCCAAAAACTTGACCGGGCTGAACTTGCAAGTGTACAAATGCCGATATAGTAATAATTTCCGGTAAAATACCGGGTCGAATCCACAGGGAAACGTTGTTTAATTTAGTCCGCGAGTAGATGACTTTGAATAAATAAATGAGTAAAGTGTAGGGATTTTGTGTGTTGTTGAGAAAACAACAACTTGGTTCTTCTTTTTAATTTTCAGAGATATAACTTGAATTAATTTGATTAAAGTGATTGATAACAACAACTAAGGCTTCGGGAATCACTTAAATGCTTTAATAGGGTTGAATATTAGTTCTTTACCAATAATTATGAATACGATGTCGCTAATATATTCTCAACTCCGGTTAAGGCAGCGAGAGCGTGGTTTTCGTTACGTGTAAGTCCCGTTACGGCTTACATTCATCTACCGAAAACCCCGTTGAATATCAAGACATCACACCCGTATCATATAATACCGGATATATTTCTATTCTCGGTAATATATATGTTTATCCTTTAATGTTCATAGTTTAGACCTCAACGTTAATTGCAAGCATAAATTAAGTTTAACATACTTCTATGTTGTACACCATAGTCATAAACAATCAAAATGTAAAGGATAAATCACAATTTATTGGTTTAGAACTTTTATCAAACACCTAGTGGGCATAGAAGTTCATCCCTAGCCTTAGCTAAGAACTTAGCCTCTAATGCTCATATTAATTACAAAAGTGTAACTAAGATAAAGAAAATACAATAACATACAAGAAATAATACCTAGAACCAATTGTAGAGGAGAGAAATGACTTCTTCTCCAACACTTCACGAGAATGCAAAAATAAAATATAAAAACTGAAATTTAAGCTCCAAGGATGGATTGATGATCTTGTTTGATGAATTGGGGGCTTTATATAGGCTAAAGATTGACATCTTTTAGTCTATTCGAGCCCAACAATCAAGCATGGAAGATATATTTGATTAGCTCATGAGGAAGATGAGTTTTTTCCATCAATATATCTCAGCACGATCTTTTGTATTTGCAGGATCAGGCCTACCCGGCGCCGGCCATCAGCCCTACCCGGCGCCGGGTAAGCTACTGGATTGGCTGGTGCGAAAATCCGACGGGCCGGCGCCGGGTATAGGGTGGGCCGGCGCCGGGTATCTCCCCTTTTTGTATTTTCTCCACTTTTAACTCCATTTGACGCCCGTTGTTGACCCCGATGTGCCGGTTCTTGGTCCCTTTTTCCCCATTGACTCTCGTTTCTTCATTTTTGACGTCTAAGTGCGATTTCGCTCAAATTGGGATTTTTATCTGTTTTATCTTTGAAAATTTGTACAGATAATCATAATTACCTATATAAAATATAGATAATTGTTGTGCTTATCAATTATGTTAACAAATCATTGGTATTATTGATGTAATACAATATTTTTGAAATATGCATTAATATGACATTTTAAAAATAACTTATAGTCTTCCGTTCTTGAATTATAAATATAATCATGTCTTTTTATAATGTTTACTCGTGCACATTTATTTTACACCATACTCATTTTAGTATAACACAAAAGTCATGTTAGTAATTAACACACAAAAGTTATTAATACTCATTTAAGTTAGAAGGTTGACTGCGAAACGGGGAAAAAAACAAAGTAGGACATTAAATTTTCATTTTACATTATACATTTTGAATATAAAATTAAAGCAAAGGTTTGTTAAAGAAAAAGAAAAAGAAAGAAGGAAAGCAAGTTAAAGGAACGATCGACAAAGAGGCATGCTGACGGAAAAAGAATAACAAGAACAATCAACCTAACTATTACCATATATAAATTGAAACTAATTACTCCCTCCGTCCCCCTAACTTTGTCCCGTTTTACCCTTTTCGTCCGTCCCATTAAGTTTGTCTCATATCATATTTGATAATATTTAGGTGGTTACAAATCATTCTTTCTTTATTTACACTTTATCAATTCAATATCAACCAAACAATTCCACTTTTTCTTAAATGTTGTGCAACACTCCTTTGTCCCAAACATAATGGGACGGAGGTAGTATAAAAGTGCTGACTGTTCCATGCGCTTAATACAGTCAACTGGTTATACCTCATAATTTGTGTTCATTCAAATACAGAGTTCGGGGCAATGTATCAGTGCAAAATGCTGTTGGTACACACTTTTGGTATACATAAGGTGTACACCCCTATGAGTGGTGGATCCAGAAAAATAAAGTCATGAGGTTCTACTTTAATGTAACTCTAATTAATATAAATTTAATAATAAACTAAGCAAAATATTATATAAACATACATTTCATAGTTAACGTACATCACCATTCACCAAAATATTAAAATAATCATAACGCAAAAAATATGAAAACTAACAATAGTTTTCTCTATCCAAGATAAGATTCCAAGGATTCAAAATCAACATCTTGATCATGTAGATAAAATATATAAAATTCTGTTATTAATTTATAATATATATATATACCCATATATATAACACATATATATAATACATATATGTGTGTGTGTGTGTTTGGAAATATGTGGGGTTTCGTGACCCTGTGGGACCCTTAATGGGTCCGCACCGGTCCCTAATTATCTGTCTACACAGGTAATTAATTCGGAAATTATCTTATAGACAAACATCTAGGAGAGATGCATACTGTATGTGTACAGTGTGCTAGGGATGTTTTTTTGGATTGAAATTTGCTGCTCTGGTATGGTCAGTTTAAGTTTGATCTGGTTTGAACTGGTCTGGTCTCTGTATATTTTATAGCTGTTCAAATCTGATCTGGTCTGGTCTAGTCTGTTTAAGCCTGATCTGATATGATCTGTTTAAGTCTGATCTGATCTGTTTAAGTCTGATCTGATTTGATCTGTTTAAGTCTGATCTGATCTGATCTGTTTAATTCTGATCTGATCTGATCATTTTAAGTCTGATCCGATTTTATCTGTTGAAGTCTGATCCGATCCGATCTGATCTGATCTGTTTAAGTCTGATCTGATCTGATCTGTTTAAGTCTGATCTGATCTGTTCCGTGAAAAAATAGCAAAAGAAAACATCCGATTTGTGTGAACTGCTCATGTATCGGTGCTTCAAGTCAACAAAGACCAAAGTAAAAGAAAGCGAGAAACCAAAGTAAAGCACTACTTAAATTTTTATTTAGTTTATTTATACTACGTACTCGTATTTATTTATATTTTTATATTGGCCTTTACCACCGGCGCCCTAGTAAGAAGTATCTAGATTTTTCTGGCAATATATATCCCTCTGTTCTTCTGCAAAACAAAGCACCTGTCTGCAGCAAAAAACCCTCAAGCCAAAAACTCAATCCATTTTCAATCTGTGTAGCGCGAGGAAGAAGCACTTTGATACGATGAGGTACTCTTAGTATATACTTGTACTGCTGTCTCCGTTTCTATCGGCGCATTACATATCCGAAAGTGTGTTTGATTCTGTTTACTTCATTGGAGCTATTTCGCTTACGAATTGCGTTTATTTGCTTTGACTTCTTCTTTTGTTCCTACAATTTCATGAAATTTTACTGAAACCCTAGGGTTTGATGCCTACAAGACGAGTTTCTCTGCTCGTTTCTGTTAAAAAGTGCTGCATAGATTCGATTTTATCTCACAGATTTGATTGAGTGAGACATGTATTACCAACTTCTTGACATGTATTATTACTTATAATGTTATATGGAGTATTGTATAAGTAGTAGATGAAGGTGATTATGGAGGTCCAAAGAAGATCTTTCTGTTTAGGATATTATCAATTTGTTACACACTATGGGCTACAATTGAAGATGCTCACTATTTGAAGCTGAGATTTGTCCTTCCACACCCAATATTGAGATGCATGTCTGCTAAACTTTGCTTTTGTCGAACTGTTCATTTCAGCAAAGTCAGAGTTGCTCATAGACATTTTGCTAATACAGTGGCACTTTTTTAAAAATAAATTCTACCTCTGACATCTTAAATGTAGCACAAGTATTGCATATTAAAAAAATACAAGGACAATTGATCTTTGTTAAGATACAAAGTTCCATATCAACTTGATAGGAGTAGTCTAGAGTAGCTAGTGTTCCGGTGTGTCCAAATACTTCAACAAGCCCTTTTAGTCCAAACCGAGTTGGACAATATTAGTTGTATATATGCTTCAAACAGACTTTTAACAAGTTACCTTTGATCTTGTGTGCTAAAAAAGCAGTTAAACATTAACTAGACTTGGCTCTGATACCATATTAAGAATCTTGTACCTTTTGTGTTGTTGTGTTTGATACACTTGTTTTCCATTATGCAAATGATGATTCAGAGTAATTTTAAGGAAAATCATATGACTCCCTTATGGAGTCATATGGCCTATTGAGGCATCCTCACCACCACACAGTGATTTAGTGGGACCCCTATTGAATAATTGTGTTGCAGTGATGATGCCACAATAGATCACATGACTCCATAAGGGAGTCATGTGTTTCCTTAAAATTTTTGAATTCAATGATGAGTAGATGCTGTAGTGCATATTTATATTTCCGTGAACTCATTATGCTAGTGTTTATTGGGTTATTGAGTCCAATATGCATCAGACAGTTTCAAGATGGGTATTTTGGCATTGTTTTTACAGTTACAAATACACTATCATCTCATAGTAGTTTTTGTGTGGAATTGTTCAGCCGTCATCCTTCTGTCAAGTGGGCCCAGCGTTCTGACATACTCTTCATCAAGATTGAGTTACCAGACGCTAAAAATGTGAATTTTAAATTGGATCCTGAAGGGAAGTTCTCCTTTTCTGCCGAAGCTGGGGCAGATAACAGACCATATGAACTGGAATTTGATCTCTTTGATAAAGTTGATGTGAATGTAAGTGGAACGTGTATCTTGTTACTATGTTATTTCACTTTTTGGTTCATGAAAACATAAACCATTTGTTGTTGCTGCAAAAATGTATATCAGGAGAGCAAGTCTAGTATAACTTCTAGATGCATTTGCTACCTTATAAAAAAATTGGAAGAGAAGTGGTGGTGCAGGCTACTTAAACAGGAGGGTAAACCTCCAGTGTATTTGAAAGTTGATTGGGATAAATGGGTTGACGAAGATGAACAAGATGAAAAATGTAAGCTCACAATCTTTTAGATACTTGGTGGTTAGTAATATCTTCATATGAAACTCATGAGTTTCTTGCTATTTCTATTTTCTAGTTGGCCTGTTATTTATCTTGAGTACTCACACTTTCCATTTCAGCTGGACCTGGTGGTATGGGCTTTGGTGATGATTTTGATTTTTCGGTAAACATCTAATTCATGGATAAGTGATCTTGTACGTATTGGAATCTTATTCTTTATTTATTCCTTAACGCTGCCTTCTTTGCTTTCAGAGCCTTAACATGGGTGGTGGTCCTGGAGGTTTTGGTGGAGATTTTGGTGCTGGTGCAGGAGGCAAGTACCTTTTGTTTTGATTCTTAGTTTGAACACTCATTTTAGACAACTTCTTCCATTTGTGAAATAAGAATCTCTATTAAATGAAAACTTTATCATCACATATTATTATTGATACACCCATAACAACACCATTATCATCAATTACCCTATTACATTATATACCCACCCAAACTACTTCTCAAACTATATTCAAATTGCCTGCCTGAATCCTTTAAGGCTCCATTACGAAAAAAGGAAAGTCACAGGGAAAGAAAGTGGTTTAACCTAACCTCAATAGGTTATTTTTGCTTTTAAAAATCCTTTCATTGTATGTATTTCTATGACCTTTGTCTCCCTTAAAACGTTGCCAGCATGACTTTTTCTTATGGGCTAAAATAGCTCATTTCCACTTGCTTTGAAGGAAAGGAATTTATGGTTCATCTTGTTTCTCTGTCTTCCAAATACAGCCTACTGCATTATTGGATATTAATCATCATGTCAGTGCTAAAGTTGTGGGATGGAGATATAATTAAATTAATACGAAGAAATATAGACACATGTAGAACTATAAAAAAAATTGATTTCCTTGGTTAACAGAGCGTTTAAAAGCTTGTTTTTGTTACCTTTTTCCCCCTCACGTTTTGCATATAAACTAAATTATCTCTCTCCACTCTATTGGTGTGTGTGTGTGTGTTCTACAGATGATATTGATGAAGATGATGAGAGTGATACTGAAGAAGAGAACAAGGAAACAGAACCAGTTGCTGCGAGCAGTGGATCTGAAGAACATGCTTCAGCTCAATGAACTCATGAGGCAGTGGCGATTTGAGTTGTCCTCCTTCTCTTCATGTTTCCATTGTCCTTTAACTCTCAGCCTATTTCTTTATATTTTCAGTCCCTACTACTGTTTGGGAATTTAACTTATAGTAGGTTGGGTACTTTCAATGTTTACTACAAACTGCTGCTGTTATATCTTTAGAGTATTCTGGTTTTCCTTTCAACTACTTTGTGATTTGTGGGCGTAGAGAGACTTGGCTTTGTCCCAGTTCTTGTAGAATTAAGAATTTTATCATCCAAGTGCTCATACGTTTTGAATTTGATGATGAGAATTTTCTAATGCAGGTGTGCTTTTCAGATATAAACTAACATGCTTTTTTACTTAGTCGTAAGTTCTTTTCCTACCCTCTCATTAGATCTCATGCATTCAATCTATTGATATTGATAGTAAAGTTGAAGTTGACTACTTGACCTCCCCGATGGTTGAGAGATCTCATGTGAGGTGAGTTGGGGGGGGGGGGGGGGGGGGGGGGGGTAAATGTTAGCTGTTTGAGTTGATTAGTAGTTTTGGAGCTGCCTCACTACAAATAGATTGTTCAACATACTACCTAACTCCTGTTTTAATTTTCATGACTCAAGATTTTATTTCACTACAATATGAGCATATCTTTCAACCTCGTATATTCCTTTTTAATGTCATCTTAAATCTTGGTCTTAGCTTCTGCCCTTGAACAGTTTTTTGCATTCCCATCACATCCCAATCAAGACTACTTCCCCTCAACTCATTTATACATTTTTGGCTCAAGTATGTGATAGTCTGGATGAGAGATCTAGAGATCAAGGGTGGAGTTTCTATTACTGAAAGGACACCATTCTTTGTTTTAAAAGTCCTAATTTGAAATAAGATGAATCTCAAAGTCTGGATGCATAGAACCAGAAAGAACATGTTTCCTTATTTTTGTAAACACAGGATATTTTTCTAAAGTTTTCTCAAAATTTTGAACTCACCTCCGTGAATCTCATACCTTTGCTCAACTAAGGATGTTTTCTTTTGGTCTCTTTTCAGTCTCAGATCAGAGTAGACCATGTTAGATCAGACTAGATCAAATCAGATCAAACTTTCATAGAGATTAGTTCAGACCAGATCAGACCAGACTAGACTAGCAAATTTTAGTCCAAAAGAAAAGGAATTTGAGAATTGAATCTCATACCTGTACACAACTAAGGATGTTTAGTTACAAGAGGATCTACTTTGGGCATGGGATTGCCTCATTGTCCATAGTTCGCCCAAGGATGTTACTCAGTCTCGGTTCAACCATTTGGAGTCCGAAGCGGCTGGTTTCGGTCCTAGTTTTGATCCTAGATTGGCCAATTTTTTTAGCTTTGAAACGGGGAAAAGAAAACAAATTAGCCGGGGCCGGGTCCTGATCGGGATTGGGACTGGATCGCCTGGTACTCGTAATTGGCTCCGACCCGGATATAATTGGGTTAGAACTGGCTTCTTCTACCAATGACAATCCGGGTCGGAATTGGGCTTCTTCTGCCAATGACCTGACTGGCCGGTCCGGCACTTGGACCGGGCCTAACCCTAGGGGATCTATGAATTTGGGTTGGTGATTGTGTCTTCATTAAACTCATTGTCGGAGGTATTCATTGATCCTTCTAGATCCTCTTTATTAACTACTCTAGGATTATATATATATATATATATCGGGTCTTCCATTACAATTCCTTCTTTTTCTTCTAATTCTCTTCTTAAGTCTTAAACACATCATCTTGACTCTTCTAACGCATCATATAATCAGCAACTTGTCTCGCAAAAATTGAAATATAATTCTCATCAGAGTATTTTCACTCCCAGAGGTTGAGCTTTGATAGTCCCCATATCCTCAACTCTCACTATCGAAATTCTTTCTTTAACACTGATGATGTTTAATTTCAAGTATGAGAGCAAATTTATGTAGAATAATATTTGGGCAATGTAATACAATAATATTAACCTGAGAAGTGTATCCCTTCTAGAGCAAGTACAGGAAATATTTTTAAACATAAGCCTAAGGAGATATTAGCGGTACATTTAATAGTCTAATCATGGTGGAACTTCTGTAAAATATCCCACAATTTCGCATTTATTACTCCTTTATGTCCACGTCTCTTCTGAATCTAAAAAATGGCCCACAACGAGTGTGACTCCACTTCCACAAAATCGCAAGCTTGCTCCTCCCAAGTGCTTTTGGAATACCAATTTATTCTGCCTCAACTGGAGAACACCTCTCCACCTCTCCGTCCATTGGCTTGCACCTCCTGCCCGGAACTCTCCTTTTTCTCCTTCTGCAATGGATGCATCCACGCAAAGCTTGAGCCTACCGGCTTTGGGGTCCGTACAGTTTTAGGCTAAAACTTTATCCTTTTAATTATTTGCTTTTCAAGTTTTAAAGTTTCAGAATTTTAATAATCTTTAATAACTAAAATAAACCGCAAGGAGCATAGGGTTGCCACAAGGCCTTCGTACGTTTCTTTTTCTCTCTAGGGTTGTCGCAAGGCAACGCCTAGCTTGGATTGTCCGGCGGTGATCAATTTGATCATGATGCCGATGTTCGTTTCTTTCTATTTTTCCCGGCTTGGAAGGAGCAGTGTTTCGAGCTCGTTTGCAGTCCTATCACAATTGTTGAAGAAGCCGAAGTTACAATTTGCTTAAGTATGATTTCAAGTCGGAGTATGCTTTCGATTCAGCAGCAAGGGATGTCAAAAGAGGATATCATCATTCAATACAAAAGCATGACTATTAAGGCGGATGAGCGGCGGGCGCATCCTCCTCCCGAGTCGCTGTCATGGAGTGCAAGCAAGGCTAGAGTTTGGATGAAGATGAGTGAACTCTATTTTAATTCCGTTTTATTCTGTTTGTGTTTTTCTTTCAAATTGCATGTTGTTTTGGACGTGTTCTTATTTCCTAGCATAGAGATTCTAGATTTTAAGTCAGGTGATGAGAAGTCTGATTTGCTAGTCATTGGCTCAGTTAAGCCCATTACAGGATCAATGAATATTATTGCTTCTATAGAGGTGATATATTCCAAGTCTGGTTCGAGGGCGGACGACAGACACAAGGTTTTTTATTGCTTTGTTTACTTCTTTTTCTTTGATTGTATTATCAGTCATGTGACGAACATTATTTTGATTTAATATATTAGTTGGATTTAACGATAAAAAAAACTTTAATAACTAGTTTAGGGATTTCTATTGTTTTATCTACTACTTCGTATGTACTTGTACTTTATTGTTTGAAGAAATAGGCTTATATTGATAACACATCATTTAGATATAGTAGGTAATCTGACAAAAAAATTCATGACAACCGCTGTCCCGCGAACCAGACTCAGAGTTAATCACCTCCAAAGAAGCAATATAATTCGCTGATCCATTAATGGGCACAAATGAGCCAAAGACGGTAACCGCAATCCTCTCATCATCCACATCCAAACCAATCGTCTTACAAAAGGAACAAAAAACAACGAGAAAAACCACACAACAAACTAAATTGTCATTAAAGAAAAATAAAAAGCAAACAAACTTGAAACTCTGTCCGAGTCTGCCAAGCCGTACGAGCACCCGAACTTTTTCCATCCTTTATGACCGTATCAACTTTGACGGGCTTACTGATCAAAGCCCGCCCCTTCCCCGTTTTTTGTCCCATCAAGAGCCATGCTATCTTCCCCAATCTTGTCTCCTCCCTGGGCTTCCCAAATCTTTTTCTCTTTTGCTCCCTTGATGTTTCCTCCTTCGTTTCCGCACCCACTCCTTTAGTTATGCTCTGTGAACCCTTCCTGCCAGAGCTCGATGAACCCTCCAGTAGCCACTTGCCACCTCATGTTGGGCGGCTAGTCTTCACCCCGCTTCCTGCCCTAAGATGAACCCCAAAGTTTTTCTCTAGTACTAGATCTTCTTCATAGTTCACAAGGCAAAACTTATCTGAATGCCCAATTAAGCCGCATATAAAATAAAAATTGGGCAACCTCTCATACTTGAAATTCACCCAAAAGCTCTTTCCTTCTTTTTTCAGATTCGTACCCTATTTCAAATATTTATCAACGTTCATGCACACCCTGATTCTCATATAAGACTCTCACTTCTCACTATTCTGGTTATCATCGTATTTTATACACTTTCCAATATAATTTCCAATCCGCCTTGCAGTACCTAAATTAGGCTATAGGGAACATTATGAATTTTTTGAACCCAAAAATCAGCCTCATTTAAAACAATCTTATGCGGAATATCATCAAGTTTAACTTCTTTTAACAGTAACAAATTACGCTCAAACTACCAAGGTCCTCCTTCAAGCACACGATGCATATCAAAACGACGATAGAAAGTAAATAGGTACCATTTCTCACCAAGTTCTTTGATCGTCATTCCTTTTCCCGGCCTCCATAACAAGGACATAAGCTCTTTGAGGGCTGGAATTTGACCTTCCTGTCAATCAATAACACTCCTACCACCGGAAGCCCTGGTCTGCTTTCCTCTACCAGAACGTCTTCCTCATCGAAATCATCAAGGTCCAGATCTTCTTCCTCCGTCCCAATCACCATGTTTTTGTATTTGTCTACAAAACTCTCCATTCACAGCATGAATCCCTTATCTTCCACCCAGATTTCGCCGTCTCACCCTAGCAGATCCGTCGCCTATAGGCAGCCAAGTAACCAAATTACCTGCGAGAGAAGATTCCTCCCTCCACCGAAGCCTCCACAATCGAAGATAACTGCACAGACACCGAAGCCCCGAAGAGCTCGAACAGAACCACACTCCTCTCAGCAAACTTGCGGCGGCCGAGACAGGCTAGGCTAGCCGGCGGCGGACGAGAAACCTAGGCGTTACCAGTCGGTAACCCTAGAAAGAGAAATCAGCTCTCCATATGTACTTGTATAAATAACTTAAGTAAATAAAAATGATTAATAATTTATTGTATATTACATAATGATAATAATATTAAAGTTTTTTTTTAATTTTATTTGTTAGATTAGGTATGTGTAGTTGACCACAAACGTTTTCGGGAATGAAGTTTAGATGTTATTGTTGTTAGATTACTTATGTCTCATACTTTTTTACAATTTAAGTATTTAGAGTTTTGATGCTTTCTTAACCGCCCCCCTCAAATATTCTTCAGGTTCCACGTTTGTTTGGGACGTTGCCAAAATTTTGGGGGAATCTTCCAATTTCACATTTCAAAAAATTATTTTAAATATAAATTTTAGTTGGACTGAAATATGTTGGCCTGGTCTGATTTGGTCTGTTTAAGTCTGGTCTGATATGAACTGGTTTGGTAAATGTCGAGTCTCTGT